GTGCTATACTGCACCCTGGTTGAATCATACCTTCCTTGTAACCACTTTGTGGGGAGATGTCCAATTGTCTACAGACGGGGTTTGGGTCTTGTGATGAAGGTTAAAACTTGGAATATTGTTGCCCCTTAACTTGTTTGGACTTGAGCCTAGCTTGCTAGTTTAGTACCTAAGTGCTACTACCTAGTTCTTTCTGACTCATACCAAACCAACTAAACTCACTGCCATTGAATCCATTGAGTTCAAGGAACTGTATAGGACCGGGTAGAATTGTCCTTTTGCGCTTCTTAGACTTCTCAATCTTCACAGGGGCAAACACCCTCATCTTTCTACTGAAGAGAGGCTGGTAGATCCAAACTGTTGGCCTTGTTATATGATCCTTCAACAACAATGCCTATATTCAGTTCCAATACTTTTCTAAGCCCTTTTTTAAAAATGGGAAATTTTCTGGCTCTATGTAATTTAGGATTTAGTGATCACTCTATGGAGATTATAGATCTATTATGAATATATGACAAAATTAAAAAATATGTCTTGACATGAGGCTTCCTACTCAGACATGTTCTGTTTTAATCCACATAAAACCTATTTAGCTCTGTGTCTGTAAGTGGGGGATAGTTGCAGACAAGTTCTCTTAGTAATACACTTGCCTTAGTCGGTTGGACTAGTGAGCAGAAAGTTGGTGGTTCAAACGGATCTGCTTCTCCACAGGGGAAAGATGAGGCTGTTTGCTCCCATCAAGTTCCACATGCTCAGTAACCCTAGAGTCACTATGAGTTGGAATGCACTTAGTGACAGGAGATGGGTTTATTTGTGATAATTTTCTCAAAGTGCACAAGATGATCACAGGGGCTTATTTGAAGTTTTGAGGTTTTTTTCATTCAAAACTGTATTGGTGGGGAAGGTCACCTGGATGATTTTGTTTCTTCCTATCATGACGATGCACCTGCTTCATTCCCCAAGGGTAAGAAGGACTGTTCTCCATGAATTTGATGGAGAAACCTTAGCTCGCCCACCCTGCAGCCATGAGCTGCCCCTGTCAGACTTCACTTTGTTCTCAAAACTCAACATTCAAACTGATCTATAGCTTCAGTGTTGTGGGATACTTTCTGAGGAGGAAAGTGCTCAAAAGAAACAGGTTATAAGGAAGGAAAAAAACGGTTAGCTGCCGACTGTATGTGAAGCACATACTTCAACATCCTAAGACAGCATCTCATAACCTAAGGATAGGTTCACTGGACAAGTCATAGGGTTTATACCTTGACCCAGGGTCAGGTGGACAGTGGTCTCACCTATTTAAAACTTCTTAAATCCATTTTCTTTCTTTTTTTTTTTTCTTTTTTTTTAACTCAGACGAAGTTGTTTTGAAATTTGAAAATGGCAAAGCCAGAGCTAAGAATACTTTTTATGAAACATTACCAGTGGCAATTAATGGAAATGGACCCACCAAGGTGAGTAACGGTGACTTCTACTTGGTTATCTGTGATTTGGAGGTAGACTGTGGATCCATATGTAAGACATCTTCTCTCGTTCTCTATAACAACGCTCTATATTTTGTAACAGTGCAATTCCTGGTTTCATTCAAATTAAATAAACTGATGATTTTTCATATACAGTCAGACAGCTTTTCATCCCTTTTGTAAAAAAGTTAAGTTTAGTGTTTTACTTAGTAATCAATAATTGAGAGCGAGCCAAATTTTCTCTCACTGGATATCCCTTCTGAACAGAAATTATTTAGAGTGCATTAAGAGCTCTGGAGGTGTAGTGGTTACTTTTCACCTTGGACTGTAATCTCATGGTCTGCAGTTCAAAATGACCAGCAGCTACTTGGGAGAAAGACTGGGCTTTCTGTTCCCGTCAACAGTCACAGTCTCGGAGACCCATGGGGGCTGCTGTGAGTCAGCATTGCCTTAATGGCAGTCAGTTTGCAGGTTTGAAGGGATTGGGAATAACGAGACCTGATAGCTTAGTGTGTTACAAGTTGGGCTGCCATCTACAAGGTCCACAGCCGCAAATCACCAGCTGCTCTATAGGGGAAGGATAAAGTTCTCTGCTCCTGTAAAGATTTGCAGAAAGCCAATGGGGCTGCTACACTCTGTCCTATAGGAAGGCTGTGACTCAGAATCTACTTTATAGCAGTGGATAAGATGGGATCATTTGTTTAATGCCATTTTCTAAGTTAACAACACTGTTAAATTTGGGCTGTAACTAAATTACTGGAAAGCTTCCTCATTCCCATATGGTGGACCCAAGTTGACACAAAGTTGGTGCACGTGTGGGCCCACGTTGATAACAAAGTTGGTGCATGTGTGATTTTGAATGCTTTAGTGGCTCAACTATATTTAACAAATTGAGATTGCTCAAAATGTTAATGATCACAAAAATTTATAGATATCAAAATTGCACACCTGGTATCAAATCAGAAGAGACCACAGGTTGCATTGAATTTGGGGAGTTTGGGTTCTGAGAAAACAAAATCTTAAATGTATGGGTGCATGCACAGTAATAACCACCATGTTCAGAGATACCTGCTTGTTTTTGTTGTTGTTTTCCTGAAGAAGAAATTAATAGGTAAATTGCCTTGTGGAAAGAAAGAATGAGGAGGGATAGTCTGCTATTTGAGAGTAAGGGTAATCTGAATTAAAAAAATTAAAAAAAAGCCATGTGCCTGGAAATCACTTCAGTGAGATGCCCACAGTGGTGGTCTCTCTTCTGTTACATATTGAATGGATGGAGCCCCTTTTCCTCTATGTGTGAGGCCAAGTTGACTAGAGAAGGAAATCCAGATGTACTCATATACATTTGTAAGAAAGAGCTTTATATCAAGAAGTAATTATGCATCAATAAAATATCTCAGTCCACTCCAACTCAAGTCCATAAGTCCAATACTAGTCTGTAAGTCCCACCTCAGATTTCCAAAGCCAAATGCAATGATGCAGAGTGCAGGAAGATCACAGGTTGGTGGGTGCAGTCTTGTGGATCAAATGATGGTGGTTCTAGCAGGTATCCGAGTGGCTCCCCAGCAGGAAGCTCTAGGGAGAGGGAAGGGGCTGGCCTCCAGAGAGCCATTTATCTTGGTAGGACCCCCAAAGGAGGTCATCAAGCTGCGAACAGATTGACAGGCTAAACTCCACGCATACCTTCCTACAGGTACCATGTTGGCACAAAAAAACTATCACAAAGGGCTATACAACAAAACATCTCATAACTATATACTGAGAAATTCTTCAGCATTGTTATATTTCTTCAAGTTTACTTGTGTTTAAAGAATGATCTTGGTTCTGAGAATTTAACTATGGTGGGAAAGTCCTGGTGTGTTCAGTAGCTTCACTGTGATGATCAATTCTCCCCAAATCCAAGGACGATTCTGACTAGAACTTTTTAAAGTGCCTAAAAGACTTCATATGAGAAGACCATTAAACCATAATCATTTCAAAAGATGAATATTAAGAAGTTTTAAGTTTTATAGGAAACATGTTCTTTCTGGCATATATGTGATGATGCTATTTTATTTCCTCTGACAGGATAATCGTATCTAACCTGTTTTTCTATGATTCTATACAATAAAAAAATGAAGATTTCTAAAATAAAGTATGTGGTATAATATATAAATGAGTAAAACCTACATAAAACACTCGTAACTAATTTTATTCTTTAGTTTATAATAATATTGTAAAGTTCACAGAGGCACCTAAATGTACCACATTTTACCCTATGTGTAAAGGATAAAGGGAAAGAAGTTTCCTATTTAAAAAGAAATTTTTTTCATGAATATGGAAGAATTAATATCATGCATTTTTATCATTTCATTTATGACCTTAAATTTTTAGTAAGAGATGATTATGCCAATGGTTTTCAGCCATACTTAATTAAATAACGACCTCCCAAAATATATATATTTTTAAATCCACTACTATAGAGACAATTCCAGCTCATAGAGATCCCATAAGACTGAGTAGACTTTCTCCCATAGGGTTTCTGAGACTGTCTGTGTTTTGGAAACCGACTGTTACATCTTCCTTCTACCTTGGAATGGCTAGCGGATTTCCACTGCTGACCTGGTATTTAGCAGGTGCAGTGAGATGACACTGCTTGGTATGGCTCTTCTACCCATAGTCTTTATAAATAAGCATGTAAATAGGTGTAGATGACTGTTGTCTTGGGAATTGGTCCATTTTGCCATCCTACTGGGTATAAAAGTGAGCCATTTCAGACACTCCTAAACACTCAAGAAAGAAGAGTCAACAATGGTGTCCTTGTGAACTTCCTACCTAAAGAGGCAGAAGTAGAGGCAGCAGAGGCAACAGCACCAAGACCGTGGGACAGAGAAGAGGAGCCACACCAAGATCATGAGACAGCAGAGGAGCAGCATTGAGACCATAAGGCCGAGCAACAGATTTCCTGACCCATGGAATGAGCAATGCTGAATGCCGTTGGGCAGCAGACTAGCCTGAAAAAATGGGTGTTCCTTAGGCATTTACTAATGCTAAGGGAGCTTTATAACAGTTGCCCACACAGGGCAGAAGCCAAGGAGTAGCATAACTGAAAGGCTGAGGACCAGAGAGAGAGAGAGAGAGACCTCCTTCCTGGTCTGAGTGAGACGAGGCACTACCAGAGGAAAAAAAGGACTATGTCCTCAATGTTCTCTGACCCTGACTTTTGTTGACCTGTTAACTTCCCCAGTAAATGATAGTATTGCCTCTGAGTTCTGTGTATTCGTTGCAACAAATTATTGAACCCAGCAGAGAACAAGAGTGCTGTCAGAAGGATGGAGGGTGGAGTCATGTCTGCCTTCTGCCTGGTAGCAGTTGCTGCATTGGCTTGCTCTGGAATTGGATTCTCCTGTTTACTGAAGCTGGACAAGGTCAGCCCCCAACTCACCAAGTCATATTAACTATGATTTCATTTAAAAGTATATGCCTAGTATTGCAAAACATGCATTATTTTATAGTGTTTTTATTTCAAAATGTACAAAAATTAATTAATTTCTTCATTGCTATCTCTAATTCTCATGCTATTAAAACAAACACTTCTAATTTAAATGTATTAAAATGCTTATAATTTTACTTCTTCCCCACATTTCTTCTTCATTCCAAGCTCCCTTCAGCTTTCATGTCCTTTCAGTATATATCTATAAACATTTGTTTTCATAATGGTATGTAAACACTTGCATTTTAAAAAGATGATACTTTATTTGAAATATTTCCATATTTTTCTGCATAATTATTTTCAAATATACTTTTCTTAATGTAATCTTATTAGATTATCAAGAATAAACCAATCTTTAAATTCAAACTATGATTTCTGGGTTGACACTTTTAATTCTTAAAGATAATTTATTTCAAGTAAACCCTACATGTTATGAAACTAATTTGATGTATAATAAAAATCGGGGCCTTACCTTTTTGTGTAAAACTTCAATGCTTATGTCACTGTGACTTTGAACAGTGACATGAGTTTTAAAGAACAGAAAGGAGGTTATGGCTGGAAACTTTCTCTGCCAATGACATCATAGTTGGAAAGCTTTTGCTATTGTGAAAGGAGACTTGGAAAAGAACTACCACCTGGAAGCTGGGAACACCCTAACTGTATAACTACATTAACAGCTATCTGCACTTCACGCAGCTGCCAGCATAAATGCCTGCAGTTTTTATTAAGAAGACAGATGTTTAGTGGGAGAGATGGATGACTTAGTGCAGCAGTTCTCAACCTGTGGGTCGCGACCCTTTTGGGGGGTCGAACGACCCTTTCACAGGGGTTGCCTAAGACCATTTGAAAACACATATTTCTGATGGCCTTAGGAACCGAGACACCGCTCCTCTATCCGTGTCCAGGCGGGTCTGCCCGCATGCAGATATGCGCACATATGAGTGCCCGGAGTGAAGACTGACCCATGCTACACCATGCTTCAAGACAACTTTTCGTTTATTTGTAATTAGAAATAAATATTTCATAATATATAATGACATTGTTTTGTGGTTCATCACTATGCTTTAATTATGTTCAGTTTGTAACAATGAAAATACATCCTGCATATCAGATATTTACACGATGATTCATAGCAGTAACAAAATTACAGTTGTGAAGTAGCAACGAAAATAATTTTATGGTTGGGGTCACCACAACGTGAACTGTATTAAAGAGTGGCGGCAATAGAAAGGTTGATAACCACTGACTTAGTGTTTGTGATAAGAAATTCAAGAGGTGGGTTTTCAGTCAAAAGTTATGGTCTCAAAACATCTATGAATATTGAATTGAGAAAAGCAAAATATTAATATGTTACAGCATAAAGTTTTGATTCTGAAAACTAAAATGTCTTTTATACTCCACAATTTTAAAGAAAAGTCATTTTGTATTCACAGGGTTATAGTCTACTGATCAATAATTCATGGGATAAATATTTAATTTTTATGAGATGGAGAAGTACCATTTTTTAATATTGATGGGAATTTCAGATATGCCTGAGATCATAAGTATTTGGGGTTTTTTTCTTATCCAAAAGCATACTTCAGAGTATTTTGAAGAAAGCTTAGCATTTAATAAATCTCTGCATCTCACACTCCCAGTTTTGTAATTCCCTGTTAGAAATAATGCCAAAGGATTCACTTTCACATGAGTTTCTTTTTTCCATTTAGATCCATATTGTTTAGAACACATGTGATTATATTAATGCTTTCATTCGTAATCATCACTTTGGAAATTAACCGTAAAATTTCTGTATGCCTACATTTGTTATAGGCTCATTAAAATGAAGTGTAATTATGAAATACCTGACTGTATATTTTCTGCTTTGTAATTTACTTTAACTTCATATAGTCTAGAAGAAAAGCGAATGAGTGTGTCTTTTGATTATCCTACGGCGATTATGTGTAACATCCACTATATCTGTCCAACTATTCCCCTTTCTATGAGTAGGACACGTTTCAGCAGCATTTGGTACAGTTTCTGTTTGAAAGGGGTAGTCTGACAGAATCTCATCTGTTGAACATGCTAAAAATTTCTTTATGTGCTTTACGAAGCTAGAACATTCCCAGTTTACATTAGTTGAATTTTTGACCACCACATTTAATGCATATATTTTGTACTTCTTTTGAGTTTGTCTCTGCTTTCCAATAAAAAAATTGATGATCATAAAATAATGATGTTTCAAGAGCTTGCCTTTCAGTAATAAGGAATCAGGGTCAAATGCTGATTTACTGCTATATGTACAGTATTACTGTCTTGAGGTGAGATCATTGTAATTTATGAAAAGTATGAGCGGAACAGTTACAATGTTTGAAAATTAATAACCATGCACACACATTCTAGGGGTTAAAATAACAATAGTATGGGTAGTCACTTTATTTTAAAATATGTAAAATACATGGATTTATTTGAGGGCTCTTTACCACACCTGCTTCTTTCTACATGAACACACTGACACACAAGATTTGGGGTAAAACCAATACCAGTAACTAACGAAAGAGAGTGGAGATAAATCACAGAATTCCTCTGAGAAGTCTGAAGGGGAGTAAGGGTGAGAAGAATTAGTCTACTTTATCTTATTGCTGATAGAAGGATTCATTAGGTCACAGTGATTATGTAATTAGGAACTTGTTCTAGATCTTTTTTAATATGAAAAGTTGTCTTTTTTTGACATCAGTGCCCTGGCACCACTGCCCGGAATGATGCCTGGCTTACAGTGGGGTTGATTCTGGGAAGATTTCCCTGTCTTTGTGTGATTCTGTTTCTTTTATGTAGTGACACATTGATAAGAGGTGAAACTCATTCACTGTAGGTGTCGCCTCTGGAATTTTAAAATGATCTTACTACTAAATTAGTACTCATTTGTATTGCTTTTGCTAATAGATCTCATTAGTCCATTTGAAACCGGCTTATTTCCTTAAATGTGTATTTCCCATATTATTTCATAGATAATGAAATATAGTCACCTTTACTATTTCATATATGTGTGTGTGTGTGTGTGTGTGTGTGTGTGTGTGTAAAATTCCTTATGATTCCTAGTCTTCAAGGAATCAATTTATGCAGTGCGTACCTACAGGTGATAGATAAAAGTAGACTTATTAAGGAAATGTACCTGTTGTACTAAACCAATTTCAAAACTAGATGATTATAGAATGAAATTACTTTCAGGAGAGAGACTTTCTTTGTTCATACAGTTTTCTTTGATGTCCTAGATTGTGCTGAATTATTTTGGAAACTACATACCTAATGCATGGACTCAGGACAGTGGCTGCATTCTGTGTAATTCGGATGTCATTGACTTGTCTGGAGTAGATGTAAGTAGATTTGACCATATGTAAAATGTAATAATAAAAGATGCATTGTGATTTGTAGAAAATAGGACAAATTATTTAGTGCTTTGATTACATGAGAGATAGTAAATTCATATATTTAAAACATGAACTCAAGAAATTGCTAGATTGGTGTATTCCTAACAGTTTTTGAAAGCAAAGCCATATGATAATTAAGCCAGATTAAAAGAGCTTGGTTGTTCATACTTGATAGCTTACCATAGATGGGTACTTTTGTTTTATTTAAGTCAGCTAACTTGGTCAACCAGGCACTGATTGGTACCTATGGTGATGGTACTTAGCTTCTAACTGGATGGATGATGATTGGAGTCCACTCACGGTACTTGGGGAGAACGCCTGGTAGTCTGCTTTCAGAAAGACCATCCTTGAAAACTTGGTGGAGTATCATTCTACTCTGACACACGTGGAGTTGTCGACACTGGTAAAGAGCACCTTGGTCAGAACATTGAGAACAGATTATAATAATGCTTCAGCATTTTCATAATCTTATCTGTGCTTGGTTTCCGATTTGGATAATAAAAAAAATTTAAGTTCACAAAAATACTTGTAGTAAATAGTACATAGGTTCAATTTTACAAATGAGGAAAGTAAACCACCTAAGTCTACATATTTCTTAAGTTGTTCAACTCGGGGTTTAAAGTTCAGTAACCTGACTCCTAAGTATATATTCTTAAACCACTGAATGATTTTGACTCTGTCATACATGCCAGACATAATGCTACTTATATACATATATTTCATAGATAATTAAAATTATTTTATCATTTATACATTAAGATTGGAGAAGCAATTGGCAATGTGTATTATTTGCCCATGAAACATTATTATGGATCTTTGTTCTGTCATCAGTTACGGCAGTGTTAGGAGATCCTGAATCAACATTTTTCTTCCAACAAATTGCTTTAGTAACTTGGAAGAATATTATATATATGAACAATTGGAGTCTAGGGAGTGATTTTGTCAGTAAGGCTGATTGATTCACTCACCCTAGCTTTATTGCATAGTTATAGTGTGCCAGGTAAGTACAAGTGAGAGCACAATAACACTCTCAGGAATATAGTTCTGGTAACCCCCGCAACCAGGCAAATGTGAAGTCGTTTTCACTGCAGTGAACTCATACTCCTGCCTTAAATGGCTTCTACCCGAATCATGGCAAATTCTTGTCTTGATTTCTGTTTCTGATCACTTCCTGGAAGGAGGATCAAGAGCAATTTGTACACATTTGGGAACTTCTGACTAGAGCCCTTTTTATGTTAAAATAAGACTCGCTGGCCAGTCTCTAAAATAACAAACTGAATGTTTCCTTTTTGGAAGGAGTGCCAGAATTGTTCTGAATGAAGCGGTTTCACCAAGTGATTTAAGCGTCTGTTCTGATCTTTTTTGCAGAAGGTGGCATTGCTCTCCCGAGGGAGAATTGATACATCTAGCTGTTTTGTTTCCCTTCATAATTAACTTTCTAGCATTAATATAGATATTTCTGTAAAATCGTTTTCCCTATGCTGTAAGCCACTAGAGTTTTTAAGTTCATTTTGTTTGCCAGCTTAGTGAAATGAACTGGGATGGAGGGAAATAAAACGAACTATTCACCATGGAAGCTAAATGCATGAGGAGGTTTCCTCGTGTAGCTTGTATGCCGTAGGGATGTACGATTTTAAATTGTGTGGGCGGTAAAGAGCGTAGAAACGTTCCTTCAAGTCAGATCCCAGCTCCACCGGATGCTTAGATGCAGCCTATTTAAAGCTCCTACTCACTCAGGGGATGGAAAGGAGCGCAGAGGGCACAGTGGACAGCTGCTCACTGAAAGGCCAGTGATTCAAACCTACCCTCAGCTCTGCAGGTTGAAAGACAGGCGATGTGCTCCAGCAAAGGTGAGCTGCCTGTGGAACCCTCTGGAGACATTCTGCACTGCCTCATGGGGTGGTGGTTACAAGTTGGGCCGCGAACTGCAATGACAGCAGTTCGAAACTACCAGCTGCTCCACAGGAAAAAGACTGGGCTTTTTACTCCCGACATGCGTTACAGTCTTGGAAACTCACAGGGGCAGTTTTACCCTGTCCTATAGGTCTCTTTGTGAGTCATCATCCACTGGGTGGCATGAGTTTGATTTTTTTCTTTTTCTAATAGGTTTAGTATAAGGTTTCTATGAGTGGGAGTGAGCCCAGCCCAGGACAACAGAGTTGTTATGAAGGTTAAGTGAAAGTGTGTGTGTGATGCACCCTTCAATGAACATTGGCCATTGTCCTTATTGTAAAAAATAAAAATATGAAACTGAACATAGATTAATAAAAGAGAACACTCAGATTGAATTCCAGCTCGTCACTGATGGCCTTGTGTGTTTTGTGAATGAGGAGTAATAAATGCGTGCTTTCCATGTTTCTATAGAACTCTGTGGACGTGGAGGTGAAGTAGTCAGCTGATAGCTGACAGGTCAGAAGTTCCCATTAGCTTCTCCAAAGGAGAAGGATGTGGCATTGGGAGATCATATCCTGTGCCTTGTCTGTTTGATAAGGGAGCATTGTCTCCCCTATTAAATGGAAGACCCCTGTTTCAGAATATAGCTGCTCCATAGGGCTGTCATTGGCTGATTTTTGGAAGTAGTTCAGACTTCTCTTTCAAAGTAACTCAGAATACATTCAGAGCACCAAACCTTTTGGGAATTTTAGAAGCCGAGTGCTTAATTGATTCCGTCATACAGGGGTTGTGAGAACAGCTAGAGGGTCGATATTTTATGTTTAGTTTTCTGAATTTGTTTATTCACTCAATATTAAATATTTTGGGTGAGTAAATGAATTGAAATATTAGAAATACACAAGGTGTGCTTTAATGCCTGCAAATACTCAATTAGCATACAGAAGACAGGACTGCGAGGTGCGTGGTGGATGAATGATGCAGAGAGGTGCCTAATTTAGCATGAAAGTATATTGTACTTTTAACAATCCATACTCTTTAAATTTGGCTTTGGGATATAGTTTTCAAAAGATATTGTACAGACATTATTTATATAACAACCTTGCATGACACCCAATCATCTAAGTTTTGAAACCAGGACTTTTCCTAAATGTTGACTGCCACATGTTCTGACACATCTTTTATGCAGTATGCGAAAGATCAACTACACACCAAAACATAGCCAAAGAGGATTTTCAGAAACATGTAGGATTGGCACAGTACAATAAGATAAAATATACTAATGAAATAGCTTTCCTGCATATAATAATGAACAAAAGTATCAGCCTTTCAGTAGGGTTCTACTTAAGGGTATAAATAAGTCACTCAGAGCTTCTATATGTTTGCTTCATGTGAGCTATAAATTAAGATCTGAGCTTAAGGAAACAAAAAGAAAACACACTTAGCATTCAAGTTTCCTTCATGAAGCTTTAAAAATGACATTGAGATTTTCCTTTTAGGGATATAATCAAGGAAACATTGAATAGTGGAGTAGATACTTATTTTAAGTTTTCAAAGCATCTGATATATGTGTACCATTCCCTCTATTAAATAGAAAGCTCCCTCCCTTACTGTGCTGGGGTAAACAAAACTGTCGTGAGTTAGAGAGCTGCCAGAGGACAATGCAAATCTAGCCCACCTGGAAGTGAGATTCTTGTTGTTTATATTGTGCTAATTGAGACTTGTACAGGATTTAAAATTAAACCTCATTAATGATTTTACCTCTGTGTTTCGTTTTGTTTTTGTGATAAAACCCAGCACCATCCAAATGTAACAATAGGCATTTTTATTGAACAACCCACTCCTTTTCTGTCTCGATTTCTGGACATATTGTTGACATTGGATTACCCCAAAGAAGCTCTTAAACTCTTTATTCATAACAAAGTAAGTATTAAAATATGGATATTCTATTCCAAAACTATCTTCGGTATTGTTTGGAGAAATTAAATTGTTTGTTATTTTTGTCTAAAAGAGTTCATTGGATGAAATTTGATGAGAGAATTTTTGAGTGCCTACTCTCTGACATTAAAAGATGTAAGAATTGTGGAGTTTAGAAACCAATATCATAATATTGTGATGACCCACAGTAGATTAAAAAATGAACATTAGTTC